CCCCCCCGTTTCTGATCCCATTCCCCACTCCACCCCCGCAAAATGTCTCTGGTCTGCCATTATTTTTATCTGTATTTCAAATAATGTTTCTGAAAACATCCAGCAAGTACAGAAGCGAGGCAATGTGGCTTGTTATCAAGATTAGAACTATTTAGCAGCCATGAACAAACTAATAGGCAAAACCATACAAAGTCATACTTATTAAATCTACTTTCCAAGTGGATTTTGTTTATGATGTCTCATTTTAAAAAAAATATGTCGTCATGGCATATAATGAAAATACTTTGCGCTCACTCATTCATTCAGCAACCACTTAGTAAGCATTGTCACGAGAGAAGGCAGTTCTTGGTGCTAAACTGTGGGGTTGGAAAGCCAAGTCCCTGGGGGTTCTCAGTTCTTGGGACCTCCCTCACCGACAAACAGCCTCCTGCATTGTCTCCTGCAATCAAAAAATACTGAAGAAGCACTTCTGAGGAAGGGACATTACTAATGGGGGAGGGTCCCCCCTCCCCCAATAAGGCGGCATTGCAGAGGCTGGGTTAGGACACACTGCTGACTGAAGATGGAAAAGAGAGGACCCAGTTGAGCAGCCCTGGGAAGCGGGATGTCTGCCTTGGGTCTAACACTGAATTCACTGAGGCCTCTATTTGTAACCTATGTTTGCAAAAGGATAGTGTACCTTTCACAACATTGCAGGGATGACTTTATCCTAGACCTGGTCCCCAATGAGTCCCAACCGGAAGCACAATAATATCTACACTATCACACTATATTGTCACTCAACATTTGTTTGAGAATGTCTAGAAGCTATGACATTTCTTAAGGACCACCATGATATCTATCAGTGATAAAGACTGCATCTTTGCACATGGGCTGGGGAGGGTTTTAAACACACAGACGGAGACAGAGTCGAAAGTGCCACTGATGAAGACTCCTCTGTGTTGGGACTCCGTGGAACGGGGTTTTTCCTGAGGCTTAAGCAAGAACAGGTCAGCAGTGGGCTTCAGCACCACAACCACTTTTGGCTGACTGAACAGTCTGCCCAATGCCTGTGCCTTGAACAGGCCTATCTTGCTTTAATTAAGGTAATAAAAGCCTATTTTCCACAACAAACAGCTATTTTCATTTTATGACTTTGTCAGTGATCAAATTAGAACATTTGCTTTATGATTCCCCTCCAGGTAACAGCTAGAGGAAATAAGTTGTTTATTTTTACAAGTCACACACACACACACACACACACACACACACACACACACACACACACACACACACACTGGTAAGACCTTCAAAGCTATTTGAGAGACTTGTGTGTGAAAGTTAAGTTCTGGGGTTGGGGCTGGCCCAGAGCAATTGCTTTCCCTGCAAAGTGATTGGCTTGACCCTCAAGGCCTGGTGTACAGACCCTGCCTTCCTGACCCCAGGGGTTCCCTTCTGTAGGAAGCCACCACAGGCTTATTTGTTGTTCCAGTAGAGGCAAACCTCCTTTTGGACCTAACACAGGCCGCGGCTTTCCCAATCGATCTGCTATTCCCGGGTCTGGTGAGCTGGGTGACTTAGGTTCTGGGGCTTTGTCTGCTGGGGCCTGTGCCCCTTCCTGCAAGGCCTCTAGAGCCCTGGCCTGGGAGAGGTGCCATCCTCAGCACCTCCTCCACTTGCAGTCAAGCCAGCCAAGCCAGCTCAGCTGACATATGTGTGAGAGCAGGTGTAAAAAGTCCAAAGATACCTAAGGAGCGGAGTCCAGGAGCCTCCAGGGAGAGCTCAGACCTGCTGACCCAGCGTCCCCCTCCACATGCTTGAAAGCCCTGTCAGAGGAGCAGTGGCTGTGAGGCCAGCGGTACCCCCCAGGAGAGCTGCCACCCAGCCCCTTCGCCTGCAGGCCAGGTCTTTAGGACAGGAGGAGAAATGACAGCCCAACCCATGGCCTCCAGGGAAGGGACATGCGGTATTTTAGCCTGAACAGGACAGGCAGTACCTGAGGCAGGAGCAGAATTTGGCCGAGGTGGGGAGTTGAGGAAGAGCTATGGGGCAAGAGTCTGTCCCTCTCCAGCCCCATCTTGGTCCTCCTCCCCCAAAGTGAATCTGGAGGTTCGCCTCTTTATCTTACAGGCCAGTACTTCTAAAGGCTTGCAGAGGCCACAGGCAGCCATTTCCAGGGGGGAAAGTGGGGGGCTTCCAGGGGTGCTCCGTGCCTTTTTTCCTGAGAGCTGCTTTCAGTGTGACAAGGGGGCCCCACAGAAGGGCGAGGCAGGCAGTGCAGCCCCATTACCCCGTGTACAACCGGCTGCCTTCACGCGGCAAAGTCACCAGCCGTGCCAGGCACAGTTTCCTGTGAGCGGCAGAGGCTTGCAGAACAGCCAGCCACGTCTTGCATTTCTTCTCGCGCTCGAGGTTTTATTGCAGCCGAGGGCACGGCGTGGGCTCCCCAACTTCTCTTCCCCCCTCCCACTCCTCCCTCCCCCCCCCCCAACAGCTCAGCGAGGCAAAAAGCCTAATGGTCACGTAGCCAGCGGCCTCACTGCTTTCCAGGGATTCGTTTGGAGGAGGGCGCCTGGGGGAGACTGGCACTGCACAACACCGGCTTTTCCTCAGGGCCTCCAACGATGGAACTTCTTTGTTAGGAACGAGCAGAAAAATGCCGCGAAGCCGGGAACTTCGCGCGCGCACACTGCTGGGCTTGCAGGCTGCGCCGCGCACGCACGGGGTCCGGAGAAGGACACCGGCGCGCGCCTTGTCCGCCAGCGACACCTGCCTCAGTGCAGGGTCCAGGAAAAGCGTTCGAGAGCGTTTCGTCTCGTGCATCCAATTAGTGTGAATGTTCAGCATCGCGTACTGAGAAACTGACGATCGTGGAGTTGGGGGGCTGAACTAGACAGGCTCCAAGATCTAGTACCATTTCTAAACTGTGTTGGGCCCTTGTTTCTTGCACTGATCACCACCGTTAACTTGAATGAAGTAGGTTGAGGGGTGGGTGGGGGGAGAAATTGAAAAGGAAAAGAAAAAAAAAAAAAAACCCAAACACATGCTTCTCTCCAACTCCCACCTGTTCTGCAGCAATTAAGCTGTCCTAAGCTCTCCAGGGTCAGGGCGGAGGTCTCTTTCTTTCTGTGTCTGTATATTGTTCCATAGCGACATCAGAATTTGGGGGTGGGGGAGGTTGGACACTTAACAAAAGTTTTTAAACTCTTAAAATGTGTTTATGGGAATTGAGCCACGACTGTGACTTATGAAAGCCTCCTCAAGGTTCCTTAGGATCGCATCACAGCAGAGATGCAGATTAGAAGTAGTTTGTGTGATGGCCATGTAGTATCTGGGGCTCACCCTCCTGATTGAGAATGGCTAGAATAAGAGGGGGGTATAATTAATCAGCCCGCAGCCTTATTTTTCTTTCAAGTGTAAAACACTCACGTGGCAGAAAGGAGATTCGTCTACCCATGGGCCACCCTAGATTCCACCTGCCGAGAGCCCAGCGTGGGGTGCAGGGTCAGGTCCCCCGCGCCCTGGGAGTGGAGTCCTGGGCTGCGGTGATCGCTACTTCTCAAAGCGTGGCGCTGCTGTGGTCCTAGAGCAACTTTGGGCACTCAGATTGAGGAGCTGGGCACACTAGGGACTCCCCTTGGCAGATCTCCCCTAAACTTGGAGAAACACTTGGACGGAGGTTCGCGATCCCAGGAGGCTTTGCGCTTGTTTCACCCGCCCCCACCCCCCTTGCGTTTCTTATTCTGCACTTAGTTACAAATGCGAGTGTATTTCTGTCCCGCCCAAGTCCGGAGAGGGATAGGTCACGCTGGGCTCTGAAGTTGACCCCGGGAGGGGACGTGACACAGCGTCAAGCACACGGGGTCTTTGGTCCCTCGACTACACCCTCAAGGACCCGCACCGCGGCTCTCCGCCAGTCCAGGGCTTTGATTCTTAACTCCCCGCGGGCGGGCGACGGGTCCCAGGTTTGGAGCTGGGGGCGCAGACGCTCGGGCGCCCCAAGAGGAGCGATGCTTGCGCGCGGGTCCCAGCGCGCACGCCCCAGCCAGACCCATCCAGCTCCAGCCGCGTCCCGCCGGGAACCGAAACGTGCCTACAGGTTGGGAGGGGACCGCGGGGCACACACGGGCCCCTCGGAGTCCCAGGAACGTCTAACTGTCCCGCTGGGTTGTCATCACGCCAGCGGGACGGGGCCTGGAACCCCGAGAGTGAGTTTCGGTGGGGACTTAAGTGAGCAGACAGTGGCAGTGTCTGGTGAAGAGCAATAAACTTTTATTTTCCTCCCGCAGCAAACAAAGTCCAGGCAGGGGTCGTGTTCGGCTGTCACCTGGGAGGGAGCCGGGAGAAAAGGAGAAGTGTGAGGTCTGGAGGCTTTAGGAGACTCGAGAACCCGTCCCCTGGCCAGCGCGCACTCGTGAGAGACAGGTCCCGGCGCTCACACCCGGAAGCGGACACTTGTGGGGCGGCCGCGTGGCCTCGGGGCTGCTCGGCGAGATCGGGTGTCGGGGCCCCGCCCCCCGTCCGAGGTCATTTGTGCTTTGCCGCCGCGGACGCCGCCGAGTCTCTGCTGGCGAAGGCGCGGGTCACTCGCCGGGGCTCTGTGAAAGGACAGGCCGCCCGCGGGGGGCGCGAATCCTTAATTACACCCTTGTGCCTCCGCTGCAGTCTCCCCGGCGGTGCCTCGCGCTCCCACCTCCTCGGGTGACCCAGCTGACCCCCACAAGCCCACCCTACGGAAGGTCGCGGAAAGTAGTTCTCTAGGAAGGTTAGAGGTGTGAACGCCCAGGGAAGCGTTTCCACCTAGGTCCAACGGCCCAACGCCCTCACCCGCCCCCTCCCCGGGCCCTCCGCCCCGCCACCCCGAGAAGAAAAGGACGGAGCCCCCCGCACGTACCCCGCACTTGGCCGGGGCGCGTGAATTGCACTTGGCGCGTAAGTTCATTAGCGTTTGCAATCAGCGGCGGGCAGACCCCGCATCGCAGCCGGCAGCCGGCGAGAGCCATTCATCAGCGGGAAGTGTTATTCACGGGTGACCCCTAAATCACGGCCCGCGTAGTAGATGCCCTGATTGGTCACAGCGCGGGAGCCTCGGTGCTTCCCCGAGCCGACGCGGCGGGAGGGGCGAGGAGGGAGGGGCGGCGAGCGTGGTTCAGTCCGGCAAATCCCATTTGACAGGAAAAGGCAGTAAACGGGGAATCTCTTTTTTTGAATAAAGAAGAAGAAGAAATAAAGTACCTGTCAGCTTGACAAGTGGCGGAGCGGAGGAGTCTAGGATTATAAATGATCGCAGCCGGCCCAGCTCGCCCTGTGATTGGGCTCTCCCGCGATCGGCGCCGGGAAGCGCAGGGTAGGATGCTCTGCTCTCTCGCGCGCTCTCCCTGTCTCTCCGCGCTCTGTCTCTGTCTCTCCTCCTCCTCCTCCCAATCTCTCTCTCTGTCTCTCTCTGTCTCTCTCTGTCTCTCTCTCTCTCTCTCACACACACACGCACACACACACACGTGTACGCGCCCGATCTCGGGCACCCGGGCCCGGCGCGCCCCCCTTGCGCCGTTAAGGTCCTGGATGCAGCCCCCGGGCGCTGCGCCCCGCTCGCCTCCTCTCC